TCTTCCGATAGTCCGGCAAATCTGATAATCCGGCACCCCCTGGGTCCTAAAGGTACCGGATTATCGGACATTTACTGTACAAACCTTTGAGCCATACTTGATCTACTAAAATACTCGATGTACCCATTAGGTTGTGCATTAACTTGGGAGTTCCTACTCTGACTACTACAGTGCATCACTGTTTAAAATTAAAATAATAGTTTATAGATCCTTTAAAATGCCTTATTTGCATGTACCTGTATCATCTTGGTTTGGAAGGGAAAATGCTGTATCGGCAATGTGCTAACATTTTGGTATTCTGAAATATTGTTAATTAATTTTTATGTTTCATAGGTCTACTATTTCAGACAAGGTCATGAAGCATACATTGTAATGGCTAAAAAGAATAAAATATATAGCATTAATCCAAAAAAACAGCCATGGCACAAAATGGAACTCCGGGTATGATATGTCTTTCTTTTCCCATTTTTGCTCTTCTTTAAAATCAGTAATAAAAAACACTTTTGTATATGTTATGTGACTTAGTGTCCATAGTTCTGCCAGGAGAATCTTTATAAAACATGTTTTTGATTTTGTGTTCAAAATGTTAAGATTAAAAAAATGAAATAACTTCCCCCAAAATTTTAAACAAGACTAAACACATATTTAAAATCGATGGTTGTAATAAGTAAATTGATTACTGAGAAGGATGAAACAAAAAATCCTAGACCTCGTTGCTAAAACAGTGTATTTCCCTTGATGTGATCAGTATTTATGTATCAGTCTGATTTATCTTTTAACTCTTCTTAAGAGTATGTTGAACACAATGAGGTTATATTGGGGAATTACAACTTTTGTGTTTCGGGTAGTACATTTGATGAAAGCTCTGTATCTAATGTAGTATTCTTTTACACAGTTCACCGCTGAAATCTGTTGCTCAACAGAAATATATTTACTTTTTTCATTTCACTTCTGTTCTAGTCTTCTTAATATTCAGCAAGCTTAAATAAGAATATTGTTTTATTTGCTTCAGGAACAAGAACTGATGAAAATAGTTGGGATTAAATATGAAGTGGGATTGCCTACTCTCTGCTGTCTTAAACTTGCTTTTCTTGACCCAGATACTGGTAAACTGACTGGAGGATCATTCACCATGAAGTAAGGGAAGCATTATTTCTGATTATTTGTGATATTTAAAGCCTTTTATTAAATTTGCTAAATCTTAAATGTTTTATTTTTTAACAGAAATTTTCTGTAAAAAATTTGTATTGAATTCAGATGCCTTAAATACATTTTGATATCTAACAACGTTTTCTGTGTTCTCTTGCTGATTTTTTACCTTGATCGTTCTTGTTACATTTTGATTACAACTAGGTACCATGATATGCCAGATGTAATAGATTTTCTCGTCTTGCGGCAGCAGTTTGATGATGCAAAACATAGACGATGGAATATAGGTAGGTGGTGTGTTTTGTAAAAAGTTTAATAAGTGTATTTGATTTCATTCATGTTGTCTTATTTCATTAGAAAATGTGGCAAAGTGATTGAAAATAAATTATGTCTGAATCAGACAGAAAGGTTTACTGATCTTTAGAGAGATGCAGTGCTTAAATCTTCATACAGTAATACTATAGCACTTGGCAGAATCAGACTTCGATACTGAACACAGTTACTTATTTTTTCTTATATGAATTTAAAGAAGATAGCATGTTGTTTTCCTTTTGTCTTGTAAATATCAGGTTTGGTTTTTAAAGCATGAGAAAAGGCTATACCCAACCTTTCTTTTTTGAAGACTTCTGTTCCAAGTTGTGAGGTGGCATTTCCTGGCAAGCTTGGGGGACTCTATCATCTGGGGGATGTGAATACACCTCTTGGAGTGTTTAAGATTATATAAAAAGAAGTGCACCCTCCTCTTCCAACCATTTCAGTTTTCTTCACCATTGACACCACAAGCAAAAGGGACTCTCTCCTGTATGTGTTATTTCTTCAAATGCTTGCTCATGTCCATTCCTTATTAGGGATGTGAATGAGCAGTCGACTAGTCGATTAACCAGTAGGATTATCAGTTAATCTAGTCGTGTCAGCCTTTGTGTCAGAGACAGCAGGGGGATGAGGACAGGAGCTGATACTGGGGGGAGCCAGCTTAAAAGCTAGTTCCCCCCAGCACCAGCTCTGCAGTGCCGCCTGCGCACACACCCCTCACTGATAGAGGCCCCCTCCCACTGACAAGCAGCACAGTGGGGGGTGCTAGAGGAGGCTGCCATGGAGCAGCCCCTGTCTGCTGAGAGGGTGGGGGAGCATCAGAG